CACACACACACACACACACACACACACACTGACCAATTATCTCCACTCTACCCCCCCTGCACACACATACCAGTTAATATGTTTAATATGATGTGATAATATATACTTATTCTGTTTCTCTTCTTGTTAGGATACTAGAATAAAAAATATCTTGGATATTTTAAATATATTACGATAAAGAACAATTAAGTATAAAATCACTGAGCAAAAGATAAATAAATGTAGCCTAATATCGTCTGAAGGAAGAAAATATTTAATCCATTTTGCTGGTGGAAAAGAATATAAACATTTTTACATGTAATGTTGGTAATTGTTTTGTAAAGCTGATTGGCCAATTAGAATGCTTGATTACCTCAAGTGGCTACTGTGTTTTTTTGCCTGTCACTTTAGAACCTTTTATTTGTTTTTTATTTCAAACACTAATTACAAACAGTTTTAATCATTGTTAACAGTTTTAGTACAAGAAATTTTTGAGATAAGAACACTTTACAACTGATTTGGTTAAATAGCATTAGTATGGTTTTGTTTTCCACATCAGCTCGGGAGATATTTCAAGATGTAGGTAAAGAACTCAAGAAACGTCGTTGCCTTGATGATTTGGATCTTATAAACAGTTATGGTGATGTGGCTGATGATCCAGCAGATTTAGATAATGACCTCCGTTCAAAGTTAGAAGAAAGCTCAAATATTTGCCAGAAAAAAATTGATGAAGTAAGGGTTTCTGTATAAACTACACTAATAAGTGTCACTAGCACAGCAATTTTTAGGTAAAGAGGTAACAGATTATATAGAAATTTCTATTTAGTTGTGTTTGTGAGTGTTTTTTCCCTGTTCTCAAATGCTGAACTTATTAAAGCAATTTTGAACCAAGTTTTGTGTGCAATTATTAAATATTTTATCCAAAATATTGTCTTGTATGAATTTTGATATATTTGTAAAGCCCTAGGATAATCTGTAATCAATTTATAAACTAAAAATAAGGCAGACAAACATTATAGGTATAGTTATTACGAAGCAGAAAACTACAAATGTGGAGTAGGGTTGGATCTTAAACTGGAATTTTTATTTGTAGTTTTCTGTGAAGTTTGTGAAATCAACTGTTCGACCAGATTCCAGAAACATTTCATCAGTCTCTATAGAATTGATTCATAACTTATGAACACCTTGCATGTACTAGGAAGGAATAAGATTTAAGGTTTTTGTTTGAATTATCCCACCTTTGGACTTGTGCCTTCTCTTAAAAACATAAGCATTTTTTAAATTAGATTTATTTGTTTAAATATATTTCATTGATCCTTGTAATGATCACAGTTCTCTTTAAAGCTGAATACCATTTTTGTGTTTAAATTCACACAGAGTTTTGAATCGTGTTTCAATTAATTTGTAGTACTGACTGTGCATTTTTGTTGTTGTTTAAATCAAGAACATTTTCCCTAAACCCTTTATTTTCAACTGAATTACAGTACCACCACCACTTAAGTTTTTTGTATGTTCTCTTTTTATTCTTCTTTATACTTCATATTTTCAAATAAACTTTAACAAGTGTTTTTAGCTTCTTGGTAATATACAAGTGTTTGAGTTTATTCTGTATAGTATGATAGTGTACATGTTGTTTTGTTGTTGAAGACACAGTATTTTTTTACTTAAAATTCTTTGTAAAATGTTGAAACTTTATTGTACCCAATGGGTTCTGTATATGCATAAAACTAAAAATTATACAAATATTTGGGGTCACAAATAGTTCCAGTTGGGGAGTAGGGTAGCCTTTGAAATTTCCTACTCCAAGTATGCTTTATTTACAGTTCAGTTTAATTGCTAAAATATAGTATCATAGTCTCATTCAGTAGAATTGATTATTTCACAAAAAAGAAAGGAAAATATTTGAAACATTGATATTTTCTAAGTGTCAGAATAGAACAATGTAAAAAATATTGTAATAATAAATGAAACAATTGTGTTTGGTGATTCATTACTGCTTAATGAGTTATAATCACAGTCTGTTGACTACATGCCATTTTTGGTTTTTACATTGAATAAAAATTTTGAGTTGTTTTGTTTTCTGGAATGAAAGTTACTTCTGATTGGTCTTTAATATTTCACCGAAGAGCTACTGTGAAATTATTTATTACACTTCCAATTATCTATAAATATAACTACCATAAGAGTAACTGAGTTATGACTTTCTCATCAAATGACTTTGATATGATTTCTTTGTCATTAGATAATTGACAAGTATGCTCAGGAGCAGACTGAAATGAAACTGCAACCAGAAGAAGTTCCTGATGATGTAAATGATGATGTTGATGTGTTGATATCTGAAAGTAAAGATGAAGAAGAAGATGAGGAGGAGGAAGAAGATCAAGATGAAGATTTAGAAGCAATTGAAAAAACTGTGGAAAGTGAAGGTGAGTATAAAGTCTGAAATATTAAAGGATTTCTTATATATCAACAGAAAAAAATACTTTCATGTTCATATCAAGAGAAAAGTGTTTTTAAAGTAAACCTCGTGGTTGTGTAATGGTTGTTTCTATTCCTTCCCCAACAGAGGATGAAGACTTAGAAACCATGGATTTCTCCTGTAATGCCTATCAGAAAAAGACACTCTCCAAGGACCTTCATGATCCTATTGGATCCAATAATGAAGAGAACTCAGCATCTGATAAGCATGCAGGAAATGTCTTAACAAGCCTTAACCTAATCCCTTCTAAATCTCCAATCATTCCATGTGCTAGTAGTGATAAAAATGGTTCATTCCCTTACTTTGATTTGGAAGTGGATTGTGAGGATGGTGACATAGTTGATGAAAACACAGAAGGGAAGATCCTTACTCCATCTGTTGAAATGATAGAGCATAAGAGAAAAGCAGATGATTTATGCAAAAATGCAAATGTGAAACGAATGTGCACTAAAAATATTAAAACCAACAGCTAGCCCATCTTCGTACTTTTTAGTTTCAACGAATGTTTCATAGGTACAAACCACTTGTGAGAAAATGGTAAGAATTATATTTTGCTCAAACAAGACATTTCATCAAATGAAAGAGTATATTTCTATGAACTGCTGTCATCTTTTGTATACTGTGTATAATTCTCATTGTGCAAAACACATTGAAAGTAGGTCAGGTAAAACATTATTGCTATATTTCTTGTTGCAACTCTTCAATAATTCCCATTCTTAAGCTTATTGATACTGAGCAGAATAAGAATTAAAAATTATTTAATGAAATAGACTACATTCTACAGTACTGTTATTTTAGTGACCCGTGTTCATTTTAATAACTTCAAAACTAACAAGTATTATTTCAGCAAACAGATAAGTATGTTTAAGGTTAATAACCTATATTGAAGGTATCTTCAAAAGTTCAGTTACATTGATGATTGGAGGAAGTATTTCTTGTAGGGCTAATTTTATTGTACTTAAGAAGCTGTTTCTATAAAAGTTGACTTAAGTCTGTTAAGTTCAATTAGCATACTGTGTTTGCAGTTTCTGGTTTTAGGTATAGAGTATGATACTTGGTGTCAGAAAACTATTTTATGAAAATGTGGGATCAAAGAACACAAAAAATGTATTGGTTTCAAGGGTATTTGCAGATAGATTTTTAATCTTCAGCATTAATCTTTTAGTCACTTGGTAAAATTATTTACAACATAATTTGAATAAAAAGACATTTAATTTTGTTTAAGTTCTATGCCAGGGGTTTTTACTAGTTTTGTGCTTCAGTTTTGTTCACTGGAAAAAGAGTTTGACAAGGTGACATTGTGAAGGGAAATATTATCTTAGAACTAAGTAGTGATATTTTATGAGGTTTAACATAAAATGTCTACAAATTGGCATTCCAGTGTGGCATACTGGTCTTAGTATGCATTATATCCAATTATGTATGTAACTTAAAAGAAATAGCTTTAAACAAATTTTCCAGACATTATAGTCATCAGCTTAACTTGTAAACACAAATGCATACTGCTAAAGACCCTTTGTAGAAAAAACAAAAAAAATCATGTACTCATTATACCTTTTTTTTCTTTCTTGTAAATTTTTTTATCTGTTTGAATGCAACTGTCAAACCACCAAATGAAGTAACATTCTTATCACTTCAGATGTAAACAGTATCATGGAAAATGTGACTATGATCGGGTCTTAACAAACTTTGTGTGTGTATGTAATTTACATTGCAATTGATTTTCTAAGGTATTGTGTTACAACATGGTCTTTATTTATAGTGTTATGGAATTCTGTATCTCGTACGTTAAACTATCAGAAATTTTCAAATCACGTTTTTAATTTTATGGTAAGAAAAATATATTTTAACTAAAAAAAATAGATTTGTGTACTATTATGTCTAATGTAAGGTGAATTATAATTTTTAAATTTCATTTGCTTTCTTCTATCAGGCAAATCAAATGAAATGGTTTAAAAGGATCAATGATATGTATAATAATGGCTGGAGACGGCTTGAATGGGTAATGAAGAAAAACTTTAATATAAGTTTAACATAACAGCAAATGTACAATGATTCGACAAGGTTTTGATGATGACAAAACATTGTACATTTGCTGTTATGT